CTTCAGTTTCAAATTCTGCACATTCAGATTCAATCTGAGCAATTCAAATTCAGTTCCTGCTGGCACAAGATTTATCCCATATTGTCCCATTAATCTGTGCAGAAATGAAATGAAAGTTTAAAGCCATTTCATTAGAAACAAAACTTGTTGATCTTTCCCTGATCTGAGCAGGCTAACCTATATATAAAAAACATACTCTTAACTTCATGATTTAATTTAGTGTCTCTTTCATAAAGGACATAAACAACAACAACCTGCTGTAATTCACATGCTACATGCTACCTGCAGATTCAGCAAAATCAAGTTCACGTCAGCTGGTCTGCTGTCCGGTGGGTTTCTGATAAACTGGAACAACTTCAGGAAAACGCAGGGATCTGAAGAAAAAAACAAAACAAAAAATAAATAGTAGTAATTTAATAAGAAGCAAGCAACAAACACTACGAAGTGGATGTTTAGATATCAGAAGTTAGAGAGCAGCGTCTCACCGTGCTGCGAGCAGAGCTGCTGGGCCAGTTTCGGATGGTCAGACATCTCTTTGAGAACAGACACACACTCTGAAACTGCCCGCGCTGAAACGTCTGACGACAAACACAAAAACACCACCTGCAGCACGCACTGCAACCTGAGAGACAAAAGTGTAACGACGCGGCTGACATAAGATCACAGACGTTAAAAACAAAACTTCTCTGATATTATCTGAAGGGAGTGCACCTGTCAGAATGTGTGTGTGGCGTCCTGTTCACGAGGACACACAGTGTCTTCAACGCGTTCAGGATGAGCCCCTCCTTCTGTGAGCTGCTGCTGCAGAGCCGCGAGTCACACAGCTGCAGCAGTGATTGAAGCAAAGCATTCTGGGAGCAGAAACCCACGTGTGCAGTGGGCTGGTTAATCTACAACCACAGATCAAACAAAATAAAATAGTTAAATAAACATAAATGATGTGCAGTTCTACGTCTTTTAGTTGATGCTAAAGAACTTCCAGATAAAAAAGGGTGAAAATAGAAAGATATTTCTTTAAAAACCTCGTCAGACTGATTCTCCTTTAACAACACAGCCATCACCACCTGAAAAGAATTAATATTTAAGCTAAAAACCCTTGAATGGGACAAAAAGTTGAGTTTWTTTTATGCCTATTGTCTCATTACATGTGTTGTTTTGAAATCACCTCATCACTGTGGGACAGAAGAAAATAAAGGAGCCTAAGTGCTGTTAAACCAGCCTCCTCCACGCTGAAACTGGCCTCCTCCGGTCTCTCCAGCACAGGACAGCCAGAAACAGTTTGATCTGATGGGAGCGAGGTGGGACCTGAAGAGCCTGACCCACTGCTGCCGGCGGAGGAAGAACGAAGAGAGTCCAGAGCTCGACAAAGCTGAGACAGGTGGAGGTCCAACAGAGGGAGGAGGAGAACGGCCCCAGAACACAACCTGCTCACAGAGAGAAAAGACCAGTGCTGCTGTTCTAATATAAAACCACAAGGTGGCGATGCTGCCCACAAACACGTGTAGTTGAGTTAGTGGATCTACCTGTTGTTTCTGCAGCTGCCTGTTTGGCTCTGACTCAACATGTTGAGTCCAGTTGCAGCCAGGCTCTGGACCAGACTCAGGGCTGCTTTGGGGTCTCCAACAGGACTAGYTCCATCTAGAGAACCGGAGCGTAGCTGAGGTCCAGCAGGCAGCYGACTGAACACGAAGAGGTGTAAAAACAGAAACAACACATCAGTTGTGCTAACATGTTCAGACAAGGCACAGCTGTGTGACGAGCTACCTGTGAGCAAGGTTATAATATTTTAGGATTTTTCACTATAGTTTTATTTCCTTTTGACTTTTTTTCTTTTAATTGAGTTCGTTTTAATTAGTTTTTTACAGTGGATTTGCTAGTCTTTATTAGTTATTATTGCATTTTTAAAGCTTTGTTTTAGTTTAGTTTAGTTTTTATTAGTTCTGGTATTAGTTTTTTATAGTTTGAATAAACATATTTGCCAAAGCATCAAGCTTGTAATGTTCCTGTGAGTTAACTAACCAGCAGCTATTTGGTCACTAGTTAAAGCAGTCCATTATACAGAYACCTTTCTAAAATAATTGCGTAACTCAATTTTGCCAACTAATGACTTGGTAGATTATTTTAGGATGATGATAATATTTGTCTCCAACCTGTTGCTTGTTTTTCACAGGAGCTACTGAGAGAAGCTAGCGTGTCAAGATAGTCATGGCCATCTTGTGTGAGCTTGATTCATGCAGTTTTTCCCTTGAGAAGTATTCCACCTGTTTTATCACCTGTTTCCACTACAAGACACGTGCTTTTGTTTTTCTCACAGTCATATTGAAAGAAATCCCTAAGTGGACGTTGCCGTTTTCTCCCAACTTTTGTTGTCATTTAGCAGACGATGCTGAGCAGCAGACTATAAACAAACGTTACAAACCACAGCTAATGTGAAACTACCCAATAAAAAAAGGAAAAATATTGACAAACGCTAAAACTAAGGATATTCCATCTATAATTTTAGTTTTAGTTAGTTCTGTAAAAAAAATTATAGTTTTAGTTAGTTATCTTTTTTCATTTTACTAGTTTATTTTAGTTAACAAATGTTTTTTCAATTTCAGTTTTTGTTAGTTTTAGTTAACTATAATACCCTRCCTGTGTGTCCAGTTTAATTTAAACAAGTCCAGAGTTTCATGAGATATTGTGCTAACAGTACAGACGTTCCCTCACTGCCACACAGACGCTGACGAAAACATCTCTTTGCTGCGGTCCATGTTTTCTCAGTAACTTCTACAGGTCTGTATGCAGTTATTTGTTAGCTGAGGCCGTCACGGTTGTTTACCTGTAATTAGTCACACTCATAGCCAGCAGGTGAGAGAGGCCAAGGCGATAAGGAGGTAGTGGCTGCTGCAACAACAAGCCAAGAAGAACACCGCCTGCAGGACACAACGTTGTTTTAGAAAGCACAGGTAAACRTTTCATATCACGTGCTCTACAGTCAGCAGAACTGAATTAATCAGTTAATAGGTATAAGTTAAAAATGAGTCAGAACTTATTATTTGAGTTCCTGACCTCTGTGCTGTGGGTGTGCAGGACTGACAGACAGAAAAGGGTCTGGAAGAGACACTTCCTGCCCATCACCTAATCTGCTGCTAGATCCCCCTCTGTCGCCTGAAAAACACAAAATCGCATGAAGTAATCAACTTTTAGCAGAAACTCCATGAAAGGGTGAAACATCTGTCTCAGCACTAACAGCCATGACTAGGGCTGGGTATCATGGCAAATTCTCTACAGCGATTAGATTTTGATTCATTAGGTTCTGAATCGATTAATCACRATTTGATTCAATTCAATCTGCTTTTAAATAATGTTGCAATATACAATATCACTATTTTTTTATTTTCACCATAAACAGGTTTTAAAGGACAAACTTAAATTAAACAGTTTAATCTTGAAGGAAAACTGTCACTTTTAAATTAAAAAGGAATTGCAGGTGACAGTGTTGTTGGAGGAGTTCCTTTTTAAAAATTAATAATTTTTTTGATAAATAARAAGTGATGGAATAAGGTGGGCTAATATAAATATATACTTCTGCCCACTCCTTCTAAGTGTATGAGACTTGTATATTTGTAATGTTTCTGTTAGCTTCTGTTACGTTCAATATAACTTAATAAAACTTACTTATACCTCATAACATGAGTCGCATATTGTCATGTTTCTCTCTTAAGACTTATCATTGACATTTCACAGCCTTATTTCAGTTCATATATTGTCAATATGTCACCTGGTGAATAAGTGACACACATTTGAACAAAATGTGTAACAGTTTTCACCCTCAGCTGTGAGCAATAATGYTGATCCATACTGTATAAAGACCTCAGTTAGTGCTTCTAAATTTAGCCTATAAAATTAGCAAGTGCTAATCCACTAATAAATTTTAAAATTAGCAAAAGCCCTAAAGCACTAATCAGGAAAATAGTTCCCCTATTAGTGTTTTAGGGGAACTGTGCCCAYCACTGGTAATATTGGTAACAAAACTAAACGATTTTGTTAGAATGTCATCTTTCATACATTTCTAAGCTGTGGAGAACCGTTTCAGTCAGATGTTTACATACCATTGTTTGGTTCGAGCGCCYAACGAGCCGCTCGTCAAACCCCGCTTCATTTTCGCTACCGCGTCCGAGCGCAAATCTTTGCAAACAAAAGTCCCCGTGGTCTCTGTTATCTTTAAGTTCTGCTGAGAATCGGCTGATAATGTGAGTGATTCCTTCGTTTCTTTTGTTTTGCTCCAGACAACCTGTTATCAAAAGCTAATGTTAGCACTGAACGTCAATCGAATGTAAACATACGGCAAGCCAGGGGTGACAAAATATAGAAAAGCGTTTCAGACGAGCGCACAAGACGCCGTGGGGAAGAGTTGATCTCATGCCCTGTGAATCGATTTCTTCCAAATTTAAAGAAAATCGATCCACGATCAGTTTTTKTACCCAGCCCTAGTCATGACATCGTTCCGTGACCCACCATCTCTGCGTGCCTTCAGTGGGGCTTTCATCTGCGTTGATCTGGACGATATCGGAGCTCCAAACGCATCTTTTTTGATGAATCCATTTCCTACTGGAGAGGAAGAGTTGCTGCCACTCCCATGATGCATCTGGGCTAAAGTACTGAGCACTTTGGGACTAAACAGACAGAAAACCAGGTTCAGTAAAAAGAGGAACAAAACATAGAATTTAAGAGAAAAACAAGACAAAAAACAAACTTGTAGCACGGTCAGGCTCTATCAGTTTGTTGAGATCAAAATAAAGCTTTGATAAACTAAAATACTGCTTAATGTCCAACTAAAATCCAAAGATGATCAGTTTATTATGGGAAAAAATGACGTAATAGGTGAGGTTTGTGCAGTTAAGATGACACAAACAATGCTGATATTACTGACAGGGTTAACGGACCTGTTTCTAGCCACCGGAGAGGACATCTTGGTTTTGTCTGCACTGAGAAGTTTCGTCTTCATTTCACTGATTTCTGCTTCTTTAAACTGCAGCTCAGACTGCAGAGACTGAACCTACAAGCAGAAAACACGTCAGAATTACTGTGAAGAATAACAGCTCTGCGAGTGTGTGTGTGTGTGTTCGCCCCATCATCACCTTCCTGTTGAGCTCCTTCTCTTTTTCACTCTGCTCCATCTGCCTTTGAGTCTCCAGCAGGATCTGGTTCCGTCTCTGAGCCTCCTTCTCCTGCTGAGCTGCTTTCAGAGAGTCTCTCAGGACCCGAATCTCCCCACTCTTCAACAGAATCTCTTCTTCCACCTCTTTTAACTAATTACACACACACACACACACAACACACAACACACTCAGGCAAACTCAACCATATGGGGTATTCAATCATTTAAAACAATATAATCCATAAAACATTTACTTTTGCAAGCCTCTTTTGTATGCCCTTTCTTAATACAATCATGATTTGTATCTGATTTGTTTATCTAATTAGGTTACACAATGTTTTAATAGTTTGTGAACTTTGTAAACTTAAGTCACGCAGTTGATAAAGTAAAACTTACCTTCCTCTTCAGCTCTGCATGCTGGGCCTCCAGGAGTCTGTAAGAGTCCTCTCCATCTGACCCAAATGGCTGCCGCGTGTTACCTGAAAAACAAAACCGTGACATGTTCATCTCTGTGACTCAGAAACTGTTATGAACTTGATGCAGTGGTAGTTTATGATACTGGTCATGAAAAAAATATTTTAAAACAGGTGAATAAGTTTTTCTCCTCTGAGCTCACCAAGAGGCTCCCTGCTAGGTTTTCCAGCATTTCCTTTGCTGAACCCAAATGTGTTTTCTCTGCTCTGACTGGATGCCGCTCTGCTCAGAGGTTTGCTGGGTCCTGCAGACGAGGTCCAGGGGGATCCATGGGCTGGCTGGCTTGGTTTAGTTGCTGGTTTGGACTCTTGCCCTGCTGAWGTGATGGCCTGCGAGGCGATGATGTCTATCTCCTCCAAGTCTGCCTGGGTGAACTCATCATCGTCTCCAAAAGTATCGTCAAAGGCGACTGCCGTCACTACATCTTGGTTGAGGCCTCGGAAACGCTTTGTGGGAGGGCAGTTCATGCTGCGAAGGAGAAGTGGGTTAATGTGGGCAATCATGGTCCTCGAGGGCCGCAGTCCTACATGTTTTACATTTTTCCCTGCTCCAAAACACCCGACTCTGTCACTGAACTACCTTTTCCAAGTTCTGCAGTATGGAGG